AATTATATTCATTTATTATTGTAATAGAAATACAGGTCTACATTTTATTTATATTAACAATGTTTATTGAATTAATTTATTAACAAATAATAATAAAACCAAATTATTTTAAATTACACACTCGGTAGAAACACACCACACAACTGAACTAGTCTGCAGCTATAAGACCAGCACCAAACGTCAGGCCTACTCTAGGACTAAATAATATCTGTAGTGCTTCAACTCACAACCCATCATGAGTATATTCAAACTTACTGTAATCTATGTGTATATTATACAAATTGTCCAGCTTTATCCCGATTTTTTTTTTAGATGGTTCATTCTCATCTGAATTTTTCTAAGTCCTTTCTTGCTTTTACTAAGTTTTTTTTTTTTTAACTTTGATGGTGTTGTCCTCTTGGGTGTGTGATTATGTGAAGTTGTGATCACCATATTGTCCTTTGTTGTAAATGTATTCAGAGGTGTAACTGTGCCTATTCCAGGTGTTTCCCGTTTTGTTTCTGTTGGCAGTGCAGCTGGTTCACAAGTCCCACATGTTATCGCAGTAGATTCTGGGTTGTCTTTGGACACTGAAGTTGGTAGGATGTTTTTATTGCTGGTCTCTGTCTCCGGTCCAGATGTTTTGATTGTCATCACTATTGATGGTACAGGTGTACTTGTGCTGGTCTCCAGTCCAGATGTTTTGATTGTTGTCACTATTGATGGGACAGCTGTACTCGTGCTGGTGTCCAGTTCAGATGTTTTGATTGTCATCACTGTTACTGGTACAGTTATACTTGTGCTGGTCTCCGGTCCAGATGTTTTGATTGTCGTCACTATTGATGGTACAGGTGTACTTGTGCTGGTCTCCGGTCCAGATGTTTTGATTGTTGTCACTATTGATGGTATAGGTGTACTTGTGCTGGTGTCCGGTCCAGATGTTTTGATTGTTGTCACTATCGATGGGACAGCTGTACTCGTGCTGGTCTCCAGTTCAGATGTTTTGATTGTCATCACTGTTAGTGGTACAGTTATACTTGTGCTG